AAGTTTTAATAAAACTGAAATAAGTTTTTTTTTTTTTTTTTTTTGTAAATATATAATAAAATTATATTCTTAATTTTAATAATTATTTTCATGGTAAGAAATATTGCGACGAAATTATTACTTACTAAAGTATTTTTATGAACGATAAATATATTTTGCCCATCGAAGTTGGTAGAAACCCTAGTGTTTGAACGTTTATAAAAGCGTAGCTAACATCCAATGGAAACATCAATTTTCGTAGAATAACGACCCGTTCTAGACTTTACGCCGATTTTTAACAAGAATATTTATTGTATTTGTATTCAATCCAAGCCATACGAAAAGTCTAGAATCGTTGTAGCTCGATTCTCTTTAACAAAAAGTTGAATCAGGTTCGACTGAGAAAAGTTTAGGAGTTTGACTTCTATGTTCATCTTGTTTTATAGTTTCCATTCAGCGTTTTTATACTATTTTATTTTTTATTTTTACCTTCGTATAGGGAAAAACCTTCGGAACAAAAAAAGATTGTGTTGCCTTCGTATTAACCGTAAAAATATATGTTTAACGACTTAGCCTCCTACAGATACTTTGTAGAAGGTCGAATAGGTGTTGAATTTGGTAAACCATACATTGAAATTGAGCTAAAATGAAAATGGTTGGAGTCTCACGTATCAGGAGTACTATATAAATAGGGACATTATGTTCTGCCCACCACTAGCATATATTGTTTATTTTGGTGTGTTACGTATCGTTGTCAGCCTCACAGTTTTAAAACGTGTCTTACTAGGGAGATGTTTCCAAACTCTTATAAGAAATGTTTTGTTCTTTCTTTTCAATTGATGTAAGATCTTACAATCCACCTCCCTTGAGGACCAACGTCCTCACTCGCACACCGCCCGGTGTTTAGCTTTGATATCATTTGTAATAGCCCAAACCCACTACTAGATATTGTCCCTTTTAGCCCATTATGTATCACCATCAACCTCACGGTTTTAAAACACGTCTACTAGAGAGAGGTTTTCACACTGAATGTTTTGTTCTCCTCTCTAACCGACGCGGATCTCACATCTCCATTGGTACAAGGTTTTTTTTTTTTTTTTTTTTTTTTTTTTTTGTGGAAAACAAAATTAAAGCTATAAAAATTTACACTCAAAGCGAACAATATCATATAAATATGGAAGGTCGTTTACAACACGAACATGTTTTAATCCACCTTAAAGATTTTAATATTAAAGTACTTGAACGTTCTTGATTTTTCTAATTATGCAATTCAATTATTAATACACGTCAATTCTTTTAATTTGATGGAACCTTGACCAAATATTGATTCTAGAGTTTCTAATAATCTCATTGAATAATTATGTTTTCTCCGTGATTCACGATATTGAATGAAAAGTCGAGAAGGATGTAGTTAGAGATGTCGTATAAAATTTTCATATTCTAAATAAAATGGACAATTTTTAATATATTTTTCTAAATAAAATGGTAATGAATGGATTGTTTCAAATTAAATATCCTAATTAATAAATCAAATATATTTTTTAAAAGAAAAAAAAAAATTATGTTTACAAATTTTAAATATAATAAAATTAAAATATAGAAACTAATATGTCAAAATAACATACAAAATATATTTTTTAAAAAAATTAGGTGATAAATTGTTTTTATCAAAAATTTAAAAAGTAAAGTGACATATGATATTAAATTTTATATGTAAAAAAAATTCTTTATCTTCATGGATTGTGAAGGATATTCTATTAAAATATAACAAAAATATCAATAAAATACAAAAATAAATTTTAATTTATTCTTTTAAATTGATTTCTAATAAATTTTTAAATTTTAAATTTTATATTTAATAAATCCTTAATCTTTTAATTTTGTGTCGGAAAAGTATTGACTTATCAAGATTTTTAAAAATTTAAGAAAGACACAAAATTAAACGTTCAGTTTACTAAACTTGAAATGTAATTTTAATTTAAATATCTTGTGAATTTTTCATTTTTATAATTGACTAGAAGCATCTTGAACCGCCTTATCTCTTATCATGATTAATATCTTTATTTTTTATAAAATTTTAATCTCGTAAAATTTCTTTCAACGTCAATATTTAAAATACCGACACTCGAAAAGGGGTCACAACCCGACATGGGACACTTTTTTTTGGTTGGGGGCAGGTATTTTGTCAATAATGTCATCAAATAATGGCACAAAATCTGACGACATTGTATTACATTAAAAAAACAAAAAAAAAAAAAACATTAATTTCAAAACAAGAAACATAAATGCATCAATTAATCCAAATAAATAAAATTCCCATCCATCTAAATACTAATGATACAAATATATCCATGTTTTTATTTTATCTAATAATTTGCACGATCATCTAATTATGCACTATTTCGATCATCTTAGATCGATATAGAACGTTTTTTTCTTATAGCTTATTCCATTTTTCTCAGAAATTGAGTTTTAAATCGATCTATTTTATAGAGAAAATACTTACTCTTAATTAATTGAAAATAATATAATATATGTCTATTTTTATTGATAAAAATTGTAATTAATTAATTAAAGGTAAGAGAACCCAATTTTGTTATTATAAATTAAATTTAGCATTATATAACGTATAGCTTAATTAATTGATTAATCAATTCAAATAAAAATAAATAAATATTTTTACATGAAACATTAATTAAAACTAATATTGATAATTAATCAGATATAAAATATTGACTATAAATGTAAAAATTAAAATTTAATAAGCTTAAATAATATATATTTATATCAATGATTAATTAATTAAGTTATATTTTTAGTGTTCACCTACCATGTATAAAAATCTCACATATAAGGATTCCCTCACATTAAAGCAAGACTAATCAACCAAAATAAAGTATCTATACGGATTAAATTCCAATTATGCCCCTCCCCTTGAAAGTATCTGTAAGTTTTATTTTCAACCTGGATTAAGAGGTCAGATGTTCAAATCTAATATCGTGAATTAAGAATTTTGAATGTATTGAGCAAATTTTCTGAGATCAGGGATAGAATCAAGAACAAATTTACAAGACAGAAAACGGTGTTATTGCAGTTTTACTACAACATAAATGAACATGCGGGATTGTAGAGTTGAAGAAATCACCATGTTTGTGCCTTGTTCTAAAAGTGTGCCTGTGCGTGCTCTGGTTTATGCTTGTACTCGTAATCAAGATGAACAAATGCCCTCTCAATTTCTGGTAGCAACTCGAGCTTTTCTTGCAGTGATTCACCTATGTCGTGAGCCTCTTCCAATGGCATGTCTCCGGGCAGGACGATATCGACTTCGACAAAGTAGTGTGATCCAAATGTATATGCTCGAACTGTGTCAATGTGTTTGATGGCCTTGTGGTGGTTCCAACATAGGTAAGTGAGCTTCTGTAGGTACTCGGGGGCAGCAGATCTTCCAACAAGGGAGTTTACGTTTTCCAATACCGTCATCGACCATGTTCGTATAGTGTACAAAGCCAGCTGCAGCAATTTACAGAGAACACTGAATCAACATGGGTAACTTCTACGAAGTTGACAAGATTAGAAACTAAAATGAAGAACGATAATCAGTTATACAAACTCGGGTGCTACATATTATTTTCAACCAAAACCTCTGTGGTTTTCAACGTATCCAATTGGTGTAACAGTCCAAGCCCTAGCCTACCGCCCGTAGACATTGTCCGCTTTGGCTATTTACGTATCGTCATCAGCTTCATGATTTTAGTACGCGTCTGCAAGGAAGAGGTTTCCACATCCTTATAAGGAATGATTCGTTTCCCTCTCCAATGAATATGGCATCTCACAATCCACCTCCCTTGAGGCCAGCGTCCTTACTAGCATGCTCAATGTTTGGCTCTGATATCATTTGTAATAACCCAAGCCCACCGCTAACAGTCTGTATGTATATGTATCAGAAGTTCTAGACCTTTATAACCAAGATGCACATTAAACTAGATATGCTCTTAAGGGAGTTTCAAATTCAGCAAATATGAATACTGAAGGTCAACATACAACAGCAGGGAATGGACAATATGGAGAGAGAGAGAGAGAGAGAGAGCTTGCACTCACAATAATAGCTCCAAGAGGGTCGATCCAGCCAGCTATATAATTAGCAAGAAGAGCAGCCACAAGGCCGATTGCGTTGGTGACTACATCAAAGAAATGATCTTGAGCATATGCTTTGATTATCTCGTTGGTAAAGGCCCGGCAATAAAGCATTAAGAGTAGTTTCACCAGAGTAACTGAGAGCATAATGCCCATAACCCATCGCTCTTGCTCCTTGGTTAAGTTGAACACAGAATCCTGAAATAAGAGTAAGAAGTTTAATAAAGAAGAAAGATGTCAAGCCTTATGAGCAATCGGGAGGAATGTCGTGGAACAAAAATCTAGTCCAATTCACTATCTAGGGACAACTTTTCGGCTAGCTAGAGCGATGAACTTGGGGAAATTTCACGAGAAAAAGAGAGATGATTCTCTAACTACTTACGCCTAATAAGAGAGTCCGAATTGACTCCAATATTATCTGTAATCCAAGAGTTGCCATGACGGAGGCAAAAACAAGAATGCCCTGCACACAACAAAAAATGGAATAAGAATCCTCCAGCAGTGACAGCTCACAACCAATAGATTATAATGATAATAGTAATAAACTTTTAAACCCCCTCATACTCATACTGCCCTCTTTGTTATTGAGAGAGTAGTTATTCACGATTGAGTTCAACAATCGGAAACTATGGGCCTTCCACTCTAACGGGAAGGCAAACATACTAGCTATTTAAGAAGCACAAACTAGGCTAGCATGTCCATATCTGATACATGTCGACACTCGGACACTACGCACTTATTGGACACACATCCGACACTCGCGAGTACAATAGTTGTGTTAGAAACTAGTTGCAGAAAACCAAAGTAGATCCAACATTGGTTAGACATGCATCGAAAGCATAAGTATACTAAATAGACAAATATATGACCAAAATACTAAAATTTGAGAGTGAAACATATAAAACTAATTTTTTAAGCATACAAATGCATAAACTCGTTGACTTTGAATTTTCTTCTCGTTTATATATCTGTGTGTGTAGGTGCCGTTGTCATGTCGACGTCCTAGATTTTAAAAAAATGATATCATATTTGTATCTGTGCTTCTCAGCTAGCTATCTTCCGTGATAGCAGTCTGTCCTAAGTATCAGTATCAATATGAAGAAGTCAACTGAATCTTTGAAAAATAAAACCCAATCTTTTAACTGCAGTAAAACTCCTGACTTGAGTATCAGATATAGAATTAAGAAGAGACAAACACAATGACTCAAATTCTGTAAGATTTAACATCGGGTTGTATAACTAAATCACCAGCAACCATATATCATCAATCATTAAACCATCCAGAGAAACAGCAGCAAACAACTATATGAACTCCATACAGCAGAATGATCAACGCAGTTCTGCTCCCCTTCAAAAGTGGAACTTTTGAGTGCAATCCAATTTTAGTTTATATTAACGTGATATGATAACTGTTTCACCAAATAATGTTAGATTAAGCTTGTAATTGAATCGATCATTTTGATGTTGAAAATCTTTTGCTTGCCCAACGAGCGGCATCCGAAAGCAGTTTAAATTAGAAATTGATCATAGTACTAAAGCCATTGGAAGGAGCATCTAACCACCCAAGCCTACCATTAGCAGATATTGTCCGTTTTGGCTCGTTACATATCGTCATCAACTTCACGGTTTTAAAACATATCTACTAGAGAGAGGTTTTCACACTCTTATAAGGCTTCACGGTTTTAAAACATATCTACTAGGGAGAGGTTTCCACACTCTTATAAGGAATGTTTTGTTCCCCTCTCCAACCAATGTGAAATCTCATAATCCACCCCCTTTGGAGGACCAGCGTCCTCGCTAACACACCGTCCGATGTCTGGCTCTATACCATTTTGTCACAATTCCATCGCCTTCGTCTTTTTAATCACGATTCGATATTTGAAGCCTCGAAAATCGGGTCGTGACAGAGTAATTGAACATGTTAGTGCACAAAAATTGAAGCACGTGACAAGTTGATATCTTTTTCCTTCATGCCACATAGTAAGTGAAATTGCATAGATCTTAAATAAATATAGCTTTAGAAGCTTCCCATGTTCTGCAGTCCATAATTCGTAAGGAAAACATGAAGAAAAAGTATAAACATTTGGTTTTTCGTTTCTTTTTCCTTTAAAATTAAGCTTATCAATAAAATCGAAGCCAAGTTTCGAAAACTACATTTTATGAACTTTTTTGTTATTGAACTTTCGGATAAGAATCCAAATGTTTCTTTGAGAGATGAAAATCACATAGAAGAAACAAGCACAATTTTAAAAATTGAAAAACTAAAAATGAAATCATTTTTAAAATTCCCAATATTGGGAGAAGAACATAAGAGAAAACAAATTTCACTACAAGCCAGTGATCAAAGAGGTAGTTGCATGCAGGGTATAATAAATCTATATCTGATCATTTTGTTCACCACGTCAAACAGTAGACAAAGGGAGTTGCAAGAGAACTAACCAGAGGCTGCATACGTTTTTTGCCAATAGGATACTGATACGGGTTTGGTGTTTGCATGGAAAATGCAGTAAACCATAGGATGAAACCAGATAAAAGATCGAGAAGTGAATCCAGTGTGGAAGCAATTATAGCAAGGGAACCACTTCTGATGGATGCATATACTTTAGCTGCAAACAGAACCAAATTGGCAACATTTGATAGTCTGATTGCAAATGTTTCACTCTTAGCTAACTTTTCACGTTCTTCCTGCAACCACCATAGCCATATTCTGGTTTTGAGCAGCGAAGAATGTCCTAATCATTAAGAAAGCATAGAAGTACAGAACAACATCAACCTTTGACATTCCAGGAACATAACCACGATCAGCCAACGCATCCATTTCATTAAAGCCCTCAAGCATTTCTACCTGCTGCTGGTAGTACTCAGCTACATAATCTTCAGGAGCTGAATTCACCAAGAAAAGTGTTGAGAATAAGATGGATGAAGTTCTCAAGATATTTTTGTTCATTACTTTCATTCTTCCACTACAAATTCAAATCTAGCCATACAAACAGATACATGAAGACATACACATGCTTTACAAAGGCAAAAAAAACGTATGCACGAACAAACTTGCAACTTCAAAGGACCATGAACTACCCAGCAAAACGTGGAAACCCAAAATATTGGGAACTGCTGCTACTTTCTATGCCACAATCAATGCCTCGGGAGATCTTAAATATGGGGAAATTACTCAACTGTAAGAATCAATCAACCACAAAACATCCACATCCAATTGCAGCAAAAATAAATAAATAATTCTCCAGCTTCTAGTTCAGGCCTTTGAAACTTCGAATTACATATTCTCCTCTCCAAATTTTAAATTCATCCAAAGAACGGATAGGTCAATCGTTCATTAAATACATGAAATAAACAAATGGAATGAAAAGAAAAATCCCACCATCTCCGGTCAGAAATTAAAGGAACTGGCTCAGTGGCAGAAGAATAAATACTCTTCAGAAACAAAAAAAAAAAAAAAAAAAAAAAAAAAAAAAAAAAAAAAAAAAAAAA